GGCTTCTTAGAACAAGGTTCCAAAAGCCTGGAAAGGCATTGTGAGCTCTGACCGTCCCCACAGCCCCTGAAGACAGTTTTAGTCAGGTGGCGGCAGGCAGGATAGAGCACAGAGCTTAGCTTTTTATTAGCAGGACAGAACACCCAAGGTAAACAGAAGAGGGGCGGTTCATTTGGGCCCATGGCTTCAGCAGTTGTGCACCATGGCCTTTGGCCTCATTGCTTCGGGCCTGTGACAAGGCAGTGCACCGTGGCGGGAGCAGTGGAGGGAACCTGCTTGCCTGGTGCTGGTTGGGAGATGAAGAGAAAAGAGAAAGCAAGAATCTCAACAACCCTTCAAGGACACACCCCCATGACCTCACTTCCGCAGCCGGACCCCACTTCCCAATAGCTCCTCCCCCTTCCAGAACCATCACAGCCTGGGAGACAACAACTAGCATAGGGGTCTTGGGGGCTCCAACCCATAACACATAGGAAAGAAAAGGTCATGAAAAAAATCCCAAGAAATAAGTGTCTCGTTGCTACATAGAATACATTTTTGACCTGGTATGTGAGGGGAAATCAAATTCGCCATGGTCATATTCTCAGGAGTGTGCTGTACCTGACACAGCCTCTGGGCCTTGGGCTTTGGCTGGCCTGAACTTCCCCCTCCACTATAATTGCTGGGTAAAGTCTGGCTTTGAAACCGTTACAGTACAGGAAATGCAAAAGAACATTTTAAAAATCTACTGGGACAAAGGCAGATCCTAACTTACAAATTTATAAATCAGAGATAGATGTGGTTCCAGCTGCCTGGGAATTTGCTGAATGATACAGGCATGGGATGTCCTGCCTGCAAGGAGGCCAGAAAAGCAACATGAGAGTGAAAAACCAGGGCAGTTGGCTCTGTTTCTCTCCCTGTTTGAGAAACAGCAGGTCAGCTTAGTGGAGGTCAGAAAGCAAACTGTGAAATATTTTCTTTTACACTTCTGAAGGAACTTGTGATTCATTCGTGCAAGAACTTCAGAAACAAGGACCAATTCTCTGCATGTCTGCTTTCACTCCAGGGCATACGTACTGGGGGCTGCTGTAAGTGGAAGTACGTGGGTATACAAAATGTGTGCTTTCCCACTGCCCATAGCTGCAGTAATAAACCTGCTTCCTTTTCTGAAGCTAATCTGGTTTATTGCTGTAACAATAGGAAAATCTGTCTAGGTGGGGAAGGGGCCAGGAAGTTATATAGAAATTCCTTGAATTTGAGCTATCTAAGAGTAGTGGATATTGGGCTGGGGAGATAGCTCAGTAGAATAAGAACCTGCCTGGCAAGTGCAGTGTCCTGAGTTCAATCCCTGGTACCCCCCCCCCAAAAAAAAAAGAGTAGTGGATATTAACTATAGTAGTGGCAACAGCATGGCCTGCCTGACACTGTGGGCTTCATGTGTGACCACAGGTTTCATTTCCACACCGTATAGAGTTTCTCTAGCATGTGGAGCCTGGTCTCCTGCCCATCACCTTAGGCTACTCCTGGCCTGTGGTATCGGGCGCACTGGAAGTATGTGGCTCCTCTGGGACCCCCCTAGTTCTTAGGACTGGTCCTCCTGAATCTGCTGCCCAGAGGGTATGGGAGCTGTATATGGTGAGGGGCAAGAGTGACGCTACTCCCAAGACACACTTTGAGTGTTGGTCAGTTTTCCCATCACTGGGACAAAATATCCGGGACTGCAATTTAAGGAAGAGTGGTTTATTCTGACTCATACTTTCAGAGGGTTCAGTTGGTGGTTGGCTGGCCTCAAGGCAGAAATGACATGACGCAGGGGCCTCTGCAGGAAAGCAGGGAGAGGAAGGGAGAATCTGGGCACAAAAACATGCTTCTCCAAATTATGCCCCAGTGAGCTTCCTCCTCCAATTGGACCCTGCCGCCTTGACCACAGTTACCTTTCCATGCCTGTCTCTGAACACCTGAGATTTCGGGGGCATTGTGCATTTAAACCGTAGCACCATGTGTGCATGGTCCCCAATCATTCTGCAGGAAAAGGAAGGACATTGGCGGGGGGCGGGGGCATGGAGCCAAGCCCTGGGCTCTGCTCTTACCCAGAGACCCACCTGTGTGGGGTGTGGGTTAGCTGGGAGGGTGTGGGAGATGGCTGGGCATAGGGAGCACTGGCCACTGTAGGGACAAAAACCACACTGCTGGGCCTTTAGTCTGTCACTCATCAAAAGCATAATTTGTATTTTCTTCTGAGGCAGTCAGGTTAAATAATATGACTTCACTTGAACCTACAAATGCCCAGTAGGTAACTAAAAGTAGACCAAAGCTTGATCTTCATTTTGTGAGACTGGGTCAAATCCCTGGGGGCTGTGTACAGGCCTGTCACTCACTCGAGTTCTGCCCATGAGCCCTAGCTTTATCAAGCCTGTCACCTTTCGGACTCCATTGCCCCTAAACCTGCAGTCACCTTGGGAGACGCCGGCCACAGGAACTAATTTTCCCTTCAAGTAACAGTGATTCACTTGAACTATAAACCCAGGACTGAGGTCATGATCCGCCAGCCCCAGCCCCCCGGGCCCCCGGCCCCCCCGGCCCCCCAGCTTACCTTACAAGCTGGCTTGTGGAGCAGTAGACCCCCCTGCCAGCCACTCAGGCCAGAGTCTTTTTCCTTTCTCTTACTTTCAACGACAACATTTCTTCTTTTAAATTTAATTTCTATCATCACTAAAGCAGAGATCCATACCAGCTGGTGACTTCGCTGGTGGCTTGGAGAATGTGGGTGAGCTCATTTTGTACTTTCTCAAGAGTCTTGAACTGAATTCTTGAATACCGTCTGCAGGGCAGGGGGTGATGTTTTATTTTTTGTTTTGTTTTGTTTTTGTTTTAATGAAGTGAGAGGAAAAAAGAACAAAATCTTAGCTACAAGAGAATACTTTATGGAAAGGTTTCAGGAATCTCCTTAAAAACAGGAAGTGTTTTCTTCCAAATAAAAGCAGGGATTCAAAAACACCACCCTTGCTGGAGTGTCCAGTCAGGCACTAGTGACTCCCCCTCACCTACCCCTTCCTCCTGAGTGTGTACCTCAGAGAGCTGTGCAGACGGTGGGCACCAGGAACCCCGCCGGGTGCTGTTCGGCCCACCTGCCAGTCGCCCCAGTTCACAGGCCAGAGCAGCAGTCTCTGCTAAAACTGAGGAGTTTCCCACTAAGCTAGACCCAGGAGCATCCCACTCACGTGAGGACAAAGAGGTCACCAAAATCAAATGCCTTTCTCTCCCTTGCTTTTGCTTACTGGACCCAGCTGATGTTCCTTTTGACACGCTGGTCCCTCAATTATTTGACCGTCTTAACCCTAGTGAAATTTCTCAGGGTTTCCAAATTACATCTTGCAGCTGACACGACTTCTGACTGAATAAGAACATGAAGCTCAAATCCTAACTTTATCTTGTTTTGTAAAATATTTTACACCATAAGCCGATGGATGAGACAGTCAAACACTCAGTGTTTTGCTCTGACGAGGCGCTGGGTCCTCAGATCAAACATTTTTACAACTCTGCCAGCAGTTCAGGAGGGAAGGAATACAGAGAGAAGGGGCTCCAAGCGCCATTATCTTATTTGCCACGGCCCGGGCTTTGGCTGGGCAACATATTGGACGGTCCCTGGCCTACGGTCTCAACTTCCAAGTTGTTGCCGCAATCTGTGGATTAAAAATGCATTCCTCTTGTAGGACACTGTTTGATGTGCTGTGTACGAGTGTTCTGCTTTGTTGATGGCTCAAGACTAACAAAGTGTGGCGTGTTTACCTCAGGGAGAGACGCGGCTCTGCAGACAGGACGGAGGCCAGGAGACGCTCCAGCAGCTCTGACTCATCTCTGTCCCATGGCCTCCGGCTGGGTCTGGCTCCTCACCCTTCCTTGCAACCCTGGTGAGTTGTCTCAGGACGTACGTTCAGAGAGGCTGTGGGTCTTCCCGGCTCACTTTCTGCCCGTGTCTTTCTCATTTTAAACTGCACTGATGAGCAAAAAGAGTTTATCTTTGCATCTGCTTCTGATGATGACCTGGCTCTCTAAGTCCTAGGAAGCACATGGAATAATGGAGCAAATGAAGAGCCCGGGACAGTGCCCAGACCCACTGCCCAAGGGACTTGTCTCCATGCAGCATCTGATTCAGCCAGCCTCAACAGGGGCCTGGCATTCTGCATTTTCTCCTTTCTGTCAGGCTGAAATATGTGTTATTTAATTTTTTACACCTTGTGGATATGCATGTAAGACGGAGTGATGGGGCGAGGGGTGCTTTGTGGTGGGAGCCTACTGCCAATACAAGGGGGCTGCCATCACTGTGCATGGAACCAGTCAGAAACTTGCTACTTTCCATCCCGCACTTGAATCTGGTGCCGTTCACTGGACCAATCAGAAGATGCCCTTTTCAATCCTTCATTTGCGTGTGGATGACCCCATTGAAAGACACTATCTCTGATCTTTCATTTCCCTGTAACAGAAGTCAGACACGTTTTTGCAGAACAGCTACATACATGGGTGATGCCAAGAGAGCAACAATGGGGCGACTCTCGGATGCGTTATTCACACGGCAGAGATCAGCTGGAACTTACGGGTACGAAAGGCCTTTCCCCCATCCTCGGGGCTGCTGTGAGTCTTCTTAGCAGCCTGCTCTCACTCTGCACAGCAGACTTTTTTCTGCCTTCAGAAGGTGTGCACTTTACTGCCTTTTTCTGCGTATCTTCTCCACTTTTTTGTTTGGGACAACAAGAGTCTGAAGAGGAGCCCTGTGGGCTGCCCATCATGACACAAGGACAGGGGTCCTGGGCCATGAGGGAAGTGGTTATAAGTAATGAGCCATGGGAAGTCCCCATTAAAAGGGGTCCTTTCACTGTGTAGGTCCTCACAGGTGCACACACACCATGTGGCCACTCACTGCATGTCTTGGGCAGCTTGCCATCCTAAACTCCTTGTCCCCACTTTGGGTTTTACACTGACCACTATTTTCCACGTGCATCCCATGATTAAAGACAGCACAGTCCCTCCAGCTCCCTTTCCCATCAGATCTGAACACTGGTCTTGGTGGTCGTAAAGGAGGAAAAGACATGCTGAAGCCAGCCTCACAGCCTGATAGTATAGTATATAGTATGTGGGCTAGATGCAAACAAGGTTGAAAAAAAAAAAAGACAGTACAGTAGTCTGTACTCTGGTGGAAGCAGGACAGAATGGCAGGGATTAATACTGCAGGCAGAAAGCGGGGCTGAGGCTGCTAGCCCAGAGATCCATCTCGAGCAGTGCAGGAGGAGAGGTCAAGTGCGCAGGGCGCGGGCCAGGCAGGGCCGAGCTCAACTCTCCAAGAGCCTGCACAGAATTCAATTCTAGTAACCAGCCCCTTGTCCAGGGAGGCTACAAATCCACTAGTAGACTGATTAAATAAAAGTAACATTTGAACTCCTTTCTCACACGCAGGGGTCCACACATGTTGTCTTTGCCTGCCTGTCTGCCTGCTTCTCTCTTTATCCTAGTGATTTTTGCAAATGCATACAGAGTGTGCAGACGACCTTAATTATTTGATAAACAGTCATCCCTTGTATAAATTGACCTTAATATGTTTGCCTGGCCCCACAGCAGCGTTTCCTTAGTTTATATTAGATTTACCCTCGGAGGGCTTCCAAGTATTGAACACCAGGCCTCCGGTGCCCAGCCAGCAAGCCGGGCTCCCCACGTCCCTACAGAGACTGGCTCCCCACGTCCCTACGCAGGTGGCTGGCTCACTGCATTGCCCAAGAGGAAGGTGATGAAGGGCTATTTAGAAGAGATGTTCTTAAGATGAGTGATAGTAGTTTTTTAAACAACAAGCGTCTGGCTGCAGCCTTCTGCCTCTCTCCCTCACCTAAGCAGGAAAGTCGCCTCCACGGCCCACGGGCTGCCACAGTCCAGTGCTTCTCTGACTGAGGGCACAGCCAGGCCCTTATCCCAAGACGGAGCCTTTTCTTTCTTTCTTTCTTTCTTTCTTTCTTTCTTTCTTTCTTTCTTTCTTTCTTTCTTT